TTCCTGCCCTGTCCCTCGATCCTCTTCCCAGTATACCAGTCATAAAACACATCCCTGGGGAGATAAACCTCGACACTCGTGGCTCCCTCCTCGACGACGGGAGCAACCAACAAAGCATCGCCGTAGAAATACTGTTCCTCCAATCCCCAAGTATTCTCATCCTTGGGGTAGGCGAACCACATGGGCGACACACTGGGCGTGCCATCCTTGGACTGTCCCTCCAGCGCGGTGTAGATGTAATCCAACAGCCGGTATCTGATCTCGATTGCCTTCTTCGCTGCCTTGGCAACAATTTCCCAGCGATAAAACTCCTGGGAGATCGAGGGCATGTACTCGACGTGGTTTCGGTAGAACGGAGCGAAAGCACCAAGCGTAGCCCAGCGAGCGCAGAGATCCTCAGTGGTGTTGCCTGCAAAACCGCACACGTCGGCGCCGACCATGGGTATCTGGTAGAACGAGGCAAAGGCCAGCATGGAGCGGATCGAGAGGCGGTAGTGCCACCACGAAGAGTAGTTGTCGCCGAGCCACTTGCCCACCGACCTGCCAGCGCCGGAGAAGGTGGAGCGGGTAATGATGAAGGGGCGCAGGGCAGGGCGGCGGTGTTGCATGGTTGCGGCGCACTGGGTCGACATCATCGAACCGTAGAGGTTGTGCACATCGTATTCGGCGAGGGAGTTGTAGTGTCGGACATCGGTGTTGATCGTTTTGTTAGAGATGCCGCCCTGGGCGTTCATCGGCGCGTTGTAGGCTGCGCGGTTGTGGATTGCGTCTGAAGGAATAGTAAGTAATTAGAACGAGAACACGAGACAGAGGAGACTTACACTTGGGATACAGCAGATCGCGACCGGGCAAGCCGAGCTGCTTGCCGGATTCTTGACGGGGCGGGAGGATGTGCGTCTTGGGGGTGACAGCACCACGAATGGGAAGAGCCTGAGGCGGGGCAAGAGGGTGGGTAGAGCGCTTGGAGGTTCCGGCCGGCTGGAACTCGGGGGGCCAGCCAGGGAGGGGACGAGGAGGCTCGCGCACGGCGGGTGGCTCCGGTGGGAAGCCGATGGCGGCGGCGTCAGGGTTATCGCACGGAAAGTAGCAAGGGAAGTTGGATGGCTCGTTCATGTCAATCCACAGACCGTCAATGTCGACGCCAGTTGAGGGGTTGAACATGATGTCGAACTCGTTGTTCCAGAACTTGGAAATGTTGGGGTGGAACCAGTCGGGGAAGCCAACCACGCCCGGCCACACAACACCCTTCCAGATGCTGCCATTCTCGCGCTTCAGGAAAATGTCATCCACGACACCACGCTGGAAGGGCGCGTAGTCCTGGTAGGCAACCGATGGGTTGACCATGAGGATGTACTTTTGTCTCTTGGAGTGCAAATGGTCGACCAATCCCCGCATCATCTCCTTGGGGAAGCGCTGAGGGTCGAGAGAGAAACCCCGGCGACGATCCATGTAGTCGATGTCCGTCCACATGGTCTCCAGCGGAATCCCCGCCACCGAGTAGTTCTGAACAACTTCGGCAACCTCGAACGCATCTTGGTAACCATATCTGCACTGATGGAAACCCAGACTCCAGTACGGCATCATGGCTGGCAATCCCGCAACCTCGGCGTACTGCTTGGCCACCTCAACCGGCGACGGACCGGCAAAGAACCAAAAGTCCAGCACGCCGCCCAGAGTGTTGTACTCGAGATACTGGCCGCCGCTGTCCTTGTCGATGACGACGTCCATGCCGTTGGAGTTGAGGAAGAAGACGCCATGGCTGCCCGTCTTGCGGTGCTCGAAATACACAGGGTGGTTGCCGTACAAGTTCGAGTTATCGGGCACGCCAAATGAGTCCTGCGACCACAGCGTGCGCACATAACGTGACGTCTTGAGGCGGAAGGGGTCCGAATGTTCGCCCAGGCCGTAGAGGTTGGGGTTGTTGGGCAGCTTGGTGCGCAAGCGGAGATACTGGGACTCAAAGACGAGCGAAGCGGCCGACGTGTCGAAGAGGACCTCGTTGTTGCTGGCGCGCGTGACGGAGAAGGAGAAGGGGTTGGTCTTGTAGTCGAACTTGAGCGCAGGACGGCGCGAACCCTTGGACGGTGGACGGGGGAAGACGGAGGCCGGCACTTGGTAGACGTTGTTGGCGGGATCTTGGATCTTGACGTGCAGGCGGGAGTCAGTTTCGTACGACACCTCGAGACGCAGCTCGCGGAGGTCGTCGCCGTAGACGTTGCAGGCGGTACCGGCGAGAGTCAGAGTGGCGGTCAGGCCGGTGGCAGACGTCTTGACGTTGGACGCCTTGTAGCCGGGGCACTTGGCAAGCTTGTCATATTCCGGGTACAGGAGGTCCTGGGCCAGGCCCGACACGGCGAGGAAGCCGAGACTGAGGAGGCGGAGAGCCATGGTGCTTGTCTCACGGATGTCACCGATGAGGAGCAGTCTGTTTGACAGGCGGGGTGCGGCGGCTATTTATCGCCAGTGAGACATGCTTGTCACCACCTGCATCCTCGCATCGCCATTTTGAGTTGGTAAAATCATGACATCCGATTGAGAGGGAGTGGAGGTGGCCAAGATGACATCCGGGCCGAGAGCGAAGCGGTTGCCAATCCGGCCGTATTCCCTGTCGATCTCAGCCAAAGACTTGGCCAGCGACTTGGCTGGAATGCGGAGGCAGTTGGGGAAGGAGCCGCCCCTCCACGATGCGTCTGACAACCCCTGTCGGTAACACAACATGACGCACGTTATCGCGATACTCTCGTTTATGTGCCAAACCAATTTCAGAAAACTATGCGTCAGCTTTCTCTTTCGACTCAAACACCATCAAGGTCAGCATTGACTTCCCACTGTTTCTTCCCTTAGATCTGAACCTCATGGACTAGTATTGAGGAGTAGTCATCCCGTTACATCGCGCGCAACTTTGTAATTAAGCAACGACCCCATCCCCACACTTGTGAAAGGACCGAATGCGGGGAAGAGAAGCGCCGATGTTTTGTATTCAAGATGTGCAAAGCTCAAGCGTTGTGACGTAGGTCGGCGCCTCACCTGCCATCCCGCCCTCACCAATATCAGCAAAACTCCTCACCGGTCAATGTAGAAGCCGTCTATGCAGAGGCCTACGAGTGTGCCACGAGATGCACAATTGCCAGCTCGCATAAATTCAATATTTAACTGTCTGTGGTGGTAGCCAGAGTAGCATTAACTTGACGATGACCATCAAGCAGACTAGCAAAGCATCTTGACTCAGCTCTGAAGCCAAACCGTTGAAGCCAACAACCATTGGCACTAATTGACCTCGGTCCAAAACCCGACGCCCGCAACGGCTTCCATCCCCAGCCCGATGGATGGAAGCAGGGTTGCATTCCGATGGAGCGGATAGAAGCGAGGCGGAGGGGAGTGGATCTTCAACAGAATAAAGGGCCGAAAGACTGGGGCGCATGGGGTGACCACCTTGGTGTAGGCGTCTCTATCGAGAATCTCGGCCCTTTCTGCGTTGCAGTCAAGCATTCGTATCTGTTGAGTTGTATAATTAGTATCCTGTCAAGCTCTTGGCCCTGGGTACTGCGCCTTCGGTTTGACAGCTGATGGTGTTCTTGACGCAGGTACAAACCCAGAGACGTGCCGATGGGAATAAGGGATTGGGTGGAACGGTTATGCTATGATGGAGTAATCCTGGTATCTTCTCCTCTCATCTAAATCTTTCGTGGGTCTAACGTACATATCACCGGACGATTGCCACCCACTCCTCCCCCGACAACCCGCCCAGAAACCCAACGTTTAGTAGCGCGTAACGAGACTTTCTTACAACCATGTATAAATGCCATCCGCCTGTTGAGAATTTCAAGTCATCTGAATCCGTCCCGGTGCCCCATTCCCGGAAGCTGGGAGAAAGTGAACACCTCGACGGGGCGATTTCGGATTACACACAGAAGTTAATCCCACAACACGAAGTCCGTCCGTAACTGCTCAAAGGTCAGCATACCAGCCCGAAGACCATCCATGTTGTCCCCAAAACCAAAACTGGTGTTTGTATAAACTCATCCTTGACAAGAGCGTGCAGTCCTTCCGCCGGCTCTCTAAGGCCCGGGGTCCGCCGCGTCGACAAGACTATCGCATGGGTAGAAAGTTGATTTCCCGGCCCCCTCGAGTCCAGAGACGAGGAAGGTTGCGAGCGAAGTCTCAGAGCTGCGGGCTGGTAATGTGATCAACAGGCGCGAAAAGGCCAAGTGACCTATATGAATACTCGGGAGAATTTTGGCACCCAGGCGACCGAGTTAAGCATCCAAACGATGGGCTGGGGCGACAAGATGATGAGGGAAAATATCGTTTCTCCAATGATCCTGCCTGCCATCCTGACGTGTGTACATAAGAGGTGAAGGAGGGCCACTGTGAGTGCGACGAGAGGGGTGGTTTCTTGCGGGTTAGTGTTGCGAGTCTACAATGGTGCTCAATATGTACCCCTGCCGGCAAAAGAAAACTTGGTTTCAATAGAGTATTCCGAAGGTGCCTGCATTCCACCATCGAAGAGCAAGCTAGAAAACTCGAATGAATACCAGCCAGCCTTAGACGCCCCAACTAACCTGCAAAAGTCAACAACCGCATTCTGTCCTGCTCTCGACAGCCTTGTCAAATTACGCAGCATTGATGACAAAAAAACAAACATTCAAGTCAAGTTCCTTCCCACAAGAATCTGCTAACAAGCCAAAGTCCCTCAAAAAGAGATACCCTTCCCAAATCCCTATCTACACATGATCCCGCTCACAACATCGTCAGATAATGGCAAACCGAAATTTGGCGATTCCTCTCCAGCTTCCGTCCGAGCAACTTACACTTTACATTCTAGCCAGTGCCATCCTTCCCTCAAACCCACAAAACAACAGTCCACCATACGAAATAGCATTGAACTCGACAATGTCCAAGTCCTACCCCTAACATCCCTGTGCATCCGCAAACATACATCCCCACCGCAAATCCACACAACCTCCACCAACTCCAACCAGCAAAAGTGAATGAATGAATGCCCAATAACAGGATTGAACTGTTGGCCTTCGCATACCTCATAATCTAGTGAGATTATTAGTACGACGCTCTAACCAGCTGAGCTAATCGGGCTTGTTCGGTGGTTGTTGACACATTCCCTCGGCACAGGCCGTGATAACGCCGGGTCGCAAAATGCAGCCCCTCAAGCAAGTTCCTCCCGCACTGAAAATAGTGATGGAATTCAGTGAACCCTCATGAAGGGGTGGCAAGCTTGGAGCGGAGAAAGATACCCAGAGCTTTGAGAACAAAATCTAGACCTAGCTGCTTGAAACACGGTCAAATGTCTAGCGGATGCCTCCTCACCACCAACATGGAAGCACCAAGACAGTACAAGACATGGGATATAGGCTACTGCCGATCAACACCAGCTATTTCCGGACCTAACGATACGCCACAAATACAGATATTTTCGCCTCCCAGAATCTTCTTGCAAAGATGTCCGCTCCACGCCATCTCCCCAATGCAATCATCAACATTCATAAAGTCGTACCCAAAATCACAAACCATGCGTCTATACTCCCATCACCCCTAGTCCACTTCCATATCCGACATCAACATGGGCACCGCCACCGTTATCGACGGGTCCTCGTCTTCCCTTTTTCCACAATCAGACACAACCGAGCTGTTGCCCGCTGCTCCTCCTAGGAAATCGCCGGCCGTAAGCTTGTACTCGCCGTCGTCCTGACGCTCAATGATTCCCTCCTCAAGAGCCCATTTGGCCAGCAGCTTGTCCACCACCATCCTCGCCGCCTCTCCCTTCTCCATATGTCGTCCCACATGCTCTGTCCATTCGTCCCAAGATCCTGCACCCTCAAAGACAGACTGACAGTCTGGCTTGGGGCATGCAGATCGCTGGGGCGGCTGCCTTCGGATGATAAGACACGACTGCTGCATCTCCTTGACGTGGCCTTCCCATTCCTGGTGAAGCTTGCTGTCATTCTTGGAGACGCCTTTTTTGATGGCGAACGGTGCGTGCATTCGGCGGAGATGCTGGGTGAACAGATCCTTACGGTTAAACTCGTTACCCTTGCCATCAGCGCTGCTTTGTGGGCATGCTGAGCAGCGGTAATAAGTGAGGCAGAGATGCTGCGACGCAATGTGTCGTTTCCATTCGTTTTTGGAGCCAAACGTGCTCGTACACCCGGCGAACGAAAACGCGCAGGGGAACGGGCGTGTATGCGCAGCCGCGATATGCTTGCGGAGGGAGGACGAATCTTTGAACGGGGCATGGCTGCAGTGTGTGCATCTTGTCTCTTGCTTTGGAGTGACCTTCTGCAGCGGCTTTCTGGCTCTTGGCTTGCTGGATGGTGTGTTAAACTTCCCAGCAAAGGGACTTTCGTCACCACCAGATTCGTCTGCTTCGGGTGACGGACCAGGGTCGCCGGGGTGTCTCACAGCAATGCTGTCACCCACCCGGGTGCCCTGGCGCTCCAATGAGGACGGGGTTTCATCGCTCTTGTGGCGAACATGGCTCAGCGCCTTGAGTTGTTCTGCTGCTTCCTTCATCTCGGCCGTCTCCTCAACCTCTTCTTTTGGCGCAGCCCCTGCAGCAGCGGCGGCAGCGGCGGGAGTGGAAGTTGGAGTGGCAGCGCCAACAGCCACAGCCGCAGCAACGGCGGCAGCAACAGCAGCGGTTCGACTTGCCTTTGACTGGACGGGGGTCGAAGTCACCTTTGCAGCTACCGGGGCCTGGTGACTTTCGTCGCGGCGAGGAGGGGCGTCCTGAAGGGGACGCCTGGGTGCCGGGGGAGCAGCCGGCAGCGACTCTCGGATCACCTCTTCAATCGGCTTTGGCGGTGGCGGTGGTGGTTCCTTGGGAGCCGAAGCCACAAGGCGTTTGTACAGATGAGTCATATTATGCGAGTTGATGTGTCCCAAAAAACAACACACCTTGTCGTGCTGAACAATGCCCCATATTGAGTGAGGCATAGAGACGAGTAGCATTGTTGGTGGGCCCAAGAACATACCCTCAACCGTTATCTTGGCCGCGATGGGCGGCATGTTGTGAAGCCATTGGTTGAAGAAACTCATATCAGGGCTTGCATCGCCAACAAATGTCGTGCAGACGAGAACTCTTGGTTCGTCAAAGATCAGCTCTGTGACCTCCTCGGGGTTTAATGGGTGGTCCTCGCGGTCGGCTACAGCAGACTGCGGAGGCGACTGGAGTTTCGCGCCTTTAGTTTCGAGAGGCATGAGCACGATTCCATGCCCGTGACCCTTCGTGGGGGTTAGAGTAAAACACGCTGGCGTTTTCTCAGGGCCCGGGACGGCCTTGATCGTGCCATTCGGTAAGCTTGCAAGAACCTGCTGTCTTTCCGCTTGTCGCTGGACCAAGACCTCGTCATAAAGTCTCTGGACGCTAAATGGTCGACCTGTGCTGAGTCTGTGGAGGGTCTCAGCCAAGCTGGCGGTGAATGAGCGAGGCCCAGCCTCAAAGCCACTTTGCTCAGGGGTATACGCGGCAATGGCTTGCTTCGCGCCGTGTCTCCCTGCCAAAGGGGCGTCGCGCACCGCGCAGGAGTCGATCAGGAGCAAAATCTCCGACTGCGCATCCTCAAATAGGCAACGCACACCATCCCATTTGAGTTTTGCCGTGTCCTCGCGCGTGCTGCTGAATTGGGGGTCAGTGCGAAGGCGCACGACGAAGAATGAGCAATTGGACTTACCTCGCCCAGTAGAGCTGATTATCAGGCCCAACAAACCCATGCCCGGCATAGTAGATGATCAGGAGCTGATCTGGACCGGCCTTTTCGAGAAACGAAGCCATCTGCACGCCGAGCTTGATGCTTGGATTGGGCACGGTGGGAATGGCCCATCTGTCGGTGTGGTAGTTGTACCGCTCCCTGAACACCTTCTCCAAAGCAAGCAAATCCGGCTCAACCGAGGTATCCTCTTCCCACCGCAGCATTAGAACCGACACACTCGTATGTTGGGTCTTAAGCGTCTGCTGGTAAATATGCATGGCCGCATCCTGAAGATGCCTGGCAAATGCCTCGAAGTCATGGCGCTCAGGTAGCGCCGCAATCGGTTCTGGCGGCGGATATGCTTGCAGAGGGAGCTACAGCTCAATGCGTCAGCCGCCGCTGGTGATCACAACACGATGTGACACCAATTCCACCCACCTGATCTTGAGGAAACCCCTGAGGCTGAGGTTGAGCAGCGACCGCGAGAGCTTGGGCGGGAGGATCGGGGACTTTGGGCGCGAGCCTCCTCCGTTTCGACGACGGTTCCATGGTGTTGTTGTCAGAGGTCCGTAGCCGAGAACAGCGGTCGGTGATCGGCGACTGGCAGTTGGCGGTCGGCAGTGTTTTTTTGCTGTATTTTTCTCGAACGCCTCGCGAAGCTCGGAAGACGTCAGCGACGGTGGCCTCGGCGCGGGAAGGCTGCAGGTCGGGCGAAATGTTCGAATTCCAGGCGAAAATCGCAAGAGAGTGTGTGTCGAATTGAGAGACGCAAGAGGGGAGCGGGCGAGGTGAGGCCGCTGGGGTGGGAGAGCACCTTGCAGATTGTAAGGCTGTGCAGGTGTGCTGGGCAAGAAAGAACCACTCGGCTCTGATTTAGCCTCGTGGCAGGGCCATGAGCTGGTTGGATTGGCTCGATTGGTTCGATTGCCAGACTCTTTTCCTGGCCTCGAGCAAGAGAGGGGGAAGCGGGGCTGACTGCGACAGGGGGGAGGGAATTCTCAGCCAATGGGCGGGCGCCAACCACAGGCGCTCGAGCCAGGTGTCTCCATGGCTTTTGCGGCCTTTTCCTCTTTGCGCTGCCAAGTTTGGGTCGTAACAAAAACATCCTCACACTGGATCTGGCTGATGCCGCTTCAACGGTGTGAATCGCAGGCGGATTTTCTAACAAGCTTAAATATAAAAATATAACACATCTAGCACAGAGAACCCTGATCAATGGCTTCTGAAATGCTATTCACCAATACCTTGGACCATTGGGTTGGCTCTTCTGTCCCTGTTTCACAGCTCTCCGAGCTCGTTGGTGTGCGTTTTATTTTGTCCAGGACGGCTCTCTTCTCTTCGCGCTGCTCACTTCTGCACTCTCTGCAGTTTCAGCGGCCCTGTCCCGGACCGTTTGAAATTCCACGTCGCCTTCCCCTCCTTCGTCCACCATCTTACCTAACCTGCCATTGAACCTTGCAACCTTGTCCATCCCGAGGCCATTGGATATTGTGGCCTTTGAGAGACGCTGTGAGACGCACCGCTCCTATTCGTCGCGCGCAATCAATCAATGCGTCCGTCCACGCGGCATTGCGGCCTCACCCATCCACATCCGCCTCTGCTTTCCCCTCTTCCTTCGACCATTCCCCAAAGTGTGGGAATGGCAAGACAGAGCCAGCCACGCGGTGACCAAATGCTCTACCTCGGTGTCAAACGAGAGGCCAGATCCGATTACCCGTCGTGCTTCCTAGCGTGCAAGTGCATGCGTCTCTGCCCAACCCTTCCTCGACCGCCCCTTGCTCCCGATTCTCGTGGTGCGGTTGCGTGGTGCGGTGCGTGGTGCACTGATGCGCACTTTGATCAACTTGCATCGAGCGAGCACCCAGGACCGAGTGTCCTGGTTGACACCGACGGCGAATCAGGCCGGCGAGAAGGCATGCACGACAAGGCCAGAATTCCGCCCAACCTGTCGGCTATTCCGCTCCCATTGGCTGCTGGCCAGCCTTTTGCAGCTGGGCTGCCGACATGATTGGCACAAGTCACAGTGTCAGCCCGCCAGCCAATCCGCCCGCCGCTGCGAACAGCCTAACCGTCCTCGAGCGTGCGTCGGCGTTGCGCTTCCGCTCCTCCTCTGCCACCGCTTCTCTCTTGTCTCTCGCAATCCGACCCTCGTCTGGTTCACTTGCCGGCCGGTAGTTCCCCACAACTGCTTCGCCCCCATTCGTGTCTTGATAACTGCTCATCGAGTCTCTCTCTTTGTGAAACTTGACCGCCAGTGTGGTTTCGGCTTTTCTTGACTGAACCTGGCCAAGGGGACGCCAAGTGCGGGTAGCGTCAGAGGTCACAGAAACTGACCAAGAGGTTTCATGAGAGATCGCATCGGGCCAGAACACGAACTCTGTTGTAAAT